AACAGAATCTTAGAATGATTGAGGGTCTAAATCGTGACGCTCGAGACAGGCATCTTCTTTCTCGAGTCAGAAAGACAGGATCGAAACGAGGTAGCGAGGGTGGTTTCTAGAGTAGACCGTCAAACTTTTTACTGTCGTCCCTAAAAGAATATACAGTGGGCCATGAAAAAGTAACTCAACGGAAAGTGGCGTCGTTTATTACGCTCGAGCATTGTACTAATCCTTCGGGGAAAAAAGCAGCCGAGCTTTTCTACGCTCGCGGACCTGAGAGTGCACTGGGAATGTTAACCGCATCGATTCTTATATTACGATAATGTAGTTATGTGGAATTGATGATTTAATAGAATATATTAGTCACGATGATTTTTTGGGGGCTATGTGGTGGGGTAATATGTTAGGTTAGGTTAGCTGTGGTGGTCTATGTTAGGTCAGACATCATGTTAGGTATAGAGAGCATAAGGTGGTATTAACTATATATTACGATAATGAGTTTATGTGGAATTGATAATGTAATACAACGTATTAGTACTGATGATTTATAGGGTAATATAGATTTGGTAGGGTAATATGTTAGGTTAGTTTAGGTTAGATATCAAGGTGTATAAGGTGGTATACATCATATATTAAGATAATGTGTTCACGTGGAATTGATAATGTAATAGAATATATTAGCACTGATGATTCGTTGAGTAATATAGATCTGTATGGTAGAGTAATAAGTTAAGTTAGGTTAGAATAGGTTAGCTGTGGTGGTGTACAAAGTGATATTGATCATATATTACGACAAATCGATCGCCCTGAGAGGTTAGGTCTCATATGTAATATGGTAGAATAATATGTCTTATTAGTAATGTGTGAGAATACCATATTAGGTTCTATTAGTGGGCTAGGTCCATGTATCAGGTTGCATTGGTAATATATTCGGATATACTAGATCCTACTGATGATTTGATAGGATAATATATGAGAATCCATTATACGGTAGGATATGTTAGGTCGCATAGATAGCACGATAGTATTGATCATATATTAGGACGATGTATTAGATCGCACTGATATGTTAGGTTTCATTTATAATAAATTAGAGCTTAGTAGTAATATTAGATCTTATTAGTAATGTATTAGGGCACTATACTACTACTGATAGCTATATATAAAGTGAGAAATTTGGAAATTTAGAGATTTGAGAGTTTTGGAAATTTGAGAGATTGGGAATTTGAGAAATTGAGAATTTGAGAGATTGGAAATTTGAGAAATTGGGAATTTGGGAGATTGGGAATTTGAGACATTGGGAATTTGAAAGATTGGAAATTTGAGAAATTTGGAATTTGAGAGATTGGAAATTTGGAAGATTGGGAATTTGAGAGATTGGAAATTTGAGAAATTGGAAATTTGAGAAATTTGAAATTTGCGAAATTGGGCATTTGAGAGATTGAAAATTTAAGAAATTTGGAATATGAGAGTTTTTGGAATTTGAGAGATTGGAAATTTGGGAGATTGGGAATTTGAGAGATTGAAAATTTGAGAAATTGGGAATTTGAGAGATTGGAAATTTGAGAGATTGGAAATTTGAGAAATTGGAAATTTGAGAGATTGAGAATTTGAGAAATTGGGAATTTGAGAGATTGAAAATTTAAGAAATTTGGAATATGAGAGTTTTAGGAATTTGAGAGATTGGAAATTGGGGAGATTGGGAATTTGAGAGATTGGAAATTGGGGAGATTGGGAATTTGAGAGATTTGGAAATTGATTGGAAATTTGCGAAACTGGAAATTTGAGAGATTGAGAACTCGAGAAATTTGACAATTTCAAATTCAACTCATTTATAATATATTAGAACAATATATTAGATCTTATTAGTAATATATTAGGGCAGTATACTACTACTGATAGCTATACATAAACTGAGGAATTTGAAGCTTTGATCATCTGAAAATTTGAAACTGCCAAAACCAAAAAATACACAAATGTAAAAACTGCAACTTGTCCCACCAGCCATCAAATATTCCTACAGTACAATCAAATAATCTTCAAGGAGCTTAAATTTAAATTCCCTAAAGTCCAGTAATTATCTTCAAATATTAACAAAGAACGTCTAAAGTAGTTAAAATTAACGTTTAAACGTAACTAAAATAACGGAGAATGAGATTGAATGCTTCAAGCAGCAATTTCTCAAAACGTATCTCGAAGTACGTTTCAAGTTCGATCAAATGTAATCTTATTATGTAAGAGAGGCGTGTTCGAGAAGCACCCGAGTCGAATTAAAAGGGAATAAAGAGTAAATCGTATTTATCCGAGCATCGAAAGACCCCCAGAGGCTATTGCGATACCACGTGTGTCAATAACAGGTAACGATTTTATGAGCAACTTTATCCACCATGTACGGTTTTGTCAGAAGTGCAATTAATCTTGCTGATATAGCGTCCGGGACAACATAACTCTTATCACCTATGACATTATTGTTGCGCCTTCGTGTATTACCGTCTTTTGTTTCGAGTAATGTTTATTCAAAAAATCTCGACACTTCGTAGAGAATTGTATGTACATTACTTTGCATTACAAATCTTTTTGTTCGTGAATTTATGAAGATTTGAATTTTTAAAGAGGGTTTGAGGGGGAATGATTTTTATTTGGAAAATTTAGAAATTGAGTTATGGTAAAATTGTTTAATTTATTTTGTAAATTTTATGTTTGGGAAGGTTAGAAATTTTTAGATTTTTAAACTTGCAGAGATTGAAATTTTAGAAGACTTCAATTTGTTAAGTTTAAAAGTTTCAGAAACTGAAATTTAGTCATTTTCAAATTAACAAATATTGAAATTTTATAAATTTTAAATTAGCAAAGTTTGAAATTTTGTGACTGCAAACTTTGCAAAGTTTGAAATTTTGTAGTTTTCAAATTAGCAAAGATTGAAATTTCGTGACTGTAAAATTTGGAAAGATTGAAATTTCGTAGCTTTCAAATCAGCAGAGATTGAAACTTAGTCATTTTTAAACTTGCAAAGTTTGAAATTTTGTGACTGTGAAATTCGCAAAGTTTGAAATTTTGTGACTGCAAAATTTGCAAAGTTTGAAATTTTGTAGTTTTCAAATTAGCAAAGATTGAAATTTTGTGACTGTAAAATTTGGAAAGATTGAAATTTCGTAGCCTTCAAATCAGCAGAGATTGAAACTTAGTAATTTTTAAATTTGCAAAGTTTAAAATTATTATAATATCTAATTTAACAAAGTTTGAACTTTTACAACTTTCCAATTCACAAACTTAAAAACTTTAATAATTTCATAGAATTTTATTTACTATTACATATAAAACTACTTACATGTAAAAATAATGAAACATGATTTTGAACAATAACCACATAAAACTGTCTCTAGTTTCAACTTGACTTAATGTACCTATAATGTACATTTGATTTTGTATTCGATAGCAAGATATTCTTTCATAAATGCTCAAGATAAAGACTGAAGTTTTATGTTCCACGCTTGATACTTTACGACATGCATTGTTTTATCGTGGTTTTGGTTGCTGGTATCAATATTTTATGCTCTATGGAGATATTACTTGAACATGAAAGTCGACATCATAGATAATATGATTTTAAAGTACATAAACTCGTGGTACTAATTAATTTCTATCAAAATCTACTATAAAATATTCCTGCTAAAACCTACATATTAAAAATAAAATCTCCATTTATTATGAACAAAACCACTCCACTTACATTAATTAAAAACAAAGAATAAATTTTCATTAAATAATCACTGAAAAGGTTAATATTTTACAATTTAACCTTATTATAATGTTTAAAAATTTTAATTATTTTATTAAAATTGTTGAAACCACAGACATAATATAATTTTGCATCCGATTTTACATTATACAGTCTATTTTCAATACGTAATGGAATACTGAAGAATGGGTCGAAATAATTTAGTGGCTTTCAAACATCTAGGCAATTTAATTTATCGGATTCAGTGAACGTTATTTCCAGCATATATCGCAGACCTAACAATGAAAATGCTTTAATGAAAAAGGATTTGTTGGAACAACTCCGCGGAAATTTTATTCATTTAGTTCGTATAATTTAACTTAGGATTTTTTCACAGAAATAACGTGTCGAGTTTCATTAATTTTTTATTTAATTTTATTTTGTTATTAAGTTTGAAGGAGGCAAAAATACTTTGTTGGTTGAGAAGGGTAATAGTGCTTTTTAATATTAAAGTGAGTGAATATTTTAACAAAAATAGCAACAGAAATAATATTATAATTAAAATTAATTTAGTACTTCATAATTGTAATAAAATATTATTAGTTAGCAAACTAATTATTTGTTGAATTATTTAGCTGCCTATTTACTATTACTATTACTAATAAAAATATTATTTAGTTTGCTATAATTATTTAGTACTCTTATAATGAAAAATTACATGTAAATTAAAAATTTTAAATTTAGGATAATAACATTTCATAATAAAATAATGATACACTGATAAATAATATTTTATACAATTCTATCAACAATCAAACGCTTACTAACTTGACTACTAATCAAATAACAAAAAAGAAATAAAATTTGTTATTAATCATCATTACAAAATAGTTAAATAATAATTGAAAATTTTTCCCAACAAAAAACTACAAAATCAACATCTCAAAGAAACTTAATTTTAACTCTGTTGTACTTTAATCAAAATAACATGCGAATCTTGATGAAACACAAACTTTATTTCCAGTTTTAAACAACGAAACGAGATTTCTGATCATGCAGCGTAGGATATATGTATTTACTTATGTGGCAGTCACAAAGCAACAAGTTCATCTCAGTTGATTCAAGTTTGTTTTGCACCACAGAGGCAATAAATACATTACGCGTTTATTTGGAATTCAAATAAGCCGACGCCTCGTATAAATGAAAGTTTTGTGTCAAGTGCACCACACCGATTCAGACAATGATACTCACCGCAAAAAGTTTAATCGGCGAAATCTCGAGTAGTCAACGCCTCGGCGATGTAACAAAGTTTCATCCTGTGACGTTTGTGTTTGTCATACAAGGGAACACTGCAAATAATATGAATATTAAAAACATTTCATTTAAAAAATTCAGGATTTAAAAAGAAATTTTATATCTGCATGTTTTTCAATTTATGAGATTCAGAAATTTGCAAATTTTCAAGATTTTAAATTTTACTTCAAAATATTTCTAAACTGAAGATCTAATAGTCTATAAATTAGGAAGTTTAGTTTAGATAGCAAGAATTGTAAGAATATTTGCAAATTTACCTGTACATAGATTTGAAATTGTAATTTCTGATTTACAAAAATTTTAAATTAGCGAAATTAAAATGGTTAATTAATAATTTCAACATAGTGCAGCCAGATTAAAAATTTAACGAGTCGAAAATTGAGGAATTAAGACATTTAGAAATTTAGAAATTTAGAAATTTGGAAATTTAGAAATGTGAAAATGTAGAAATGTAGCAATTAAAAAATTTAGAAATTCAAGAGATAAAACATTTAGGGATTTAAAAATTTTGGGAGTTAAGATTTTAGAGATTTACAAATTTAATAAATTGGAAAATTGAGGATTTGGAATTACATTTGGGAACCTGATAATACAATTTGGGTCACCAGAAAGTTGGGAATTTAGTAATTTATAGAATCGGAAATTTAGGACGTCGCAAATTTCAGAGTTTGAGAATTTAGAAACTTCAGAAATTGGGATTTGGAAATTCAAGAATTTAATAATTTAATAACCTGATTGTTTCGAGCCTCAAAGACCTAAAAACCTAAAATATAACTCCGAAACTTAAAAACTCAGAAATACAGAAACTTCGATATTTAATATACATTTTGATGCAAAACTAAATTCAGTTGAGAGACCCCAAATATTTATTTAAACAGAATAATATTAAAAACAATAGATTCACAGCATAATAAATCTAACCTACATGTTTTTCGAGAAGTCTATTACTAAAATATAAAATGTTTCTTAATTACAACCCATCTGCAATATTTCAAAACGATAAACGTAATCCGAAGAAAAAAATATATTACATTATTCTCTACAAAAGCATCTAACATTACATAAGGTAAAATTAGCATAATCTGTGATATAAAGCGAAGAAATAGCCTTAGACTCCCGGGAGGTATCGTAACGGGTGTAACGAGGTGTGCGAAGAAGGGTGAGATCATTTCTCGGAACGTCAACCGAGTGCTTTTGCTCATGTGTACATACATCCCGTGGTGTTAGCAGCGCATCGCGTATCGTCGTCGTCGCGACGCTTGTATACCGTCGCAATTGCGCACAAGCTTCGGTATATAATTGGGATGAATATTGAGAAGTTGGCAGTGAAGTTGTAAGTAAACTTGGATGCCTCGGGGCGAGCTCGCTCCGCTTGAGAGCAGAGACGTGTTGCGGACAGATCCTCCTCTGCTCTCCTCGCCTAAACCCACTCCTTATTCACCTATCGCCTGCCGCCTACAAAACTATACGAATATTCCGGATTATCCCGACGACGAGACGCGGAACGCTATTTACGAACAGTATTCGTCTACCATTCTTTGCAGGGATCATCAACTGCGAGCCTCGTTTGTTCCGCACTCGAACACCCAGAGAAATCGAGAAAATTACTCACACGAGATAAGAATGGGGACGTTAATCGCAGTGAATTTTTCAGTTTCCAGATTGCTTAGATGCTAAATCTGGAGGTTATTGGCTTTGTTAAATTGTTTCAAAAAACCTTGTTGACGAAATTGATCAATTTGAGAGTATAGATGGTTGAAAATCTCTATTACAGTTACTATGAGACCCTGTCAGATTGTCACTACATTGCCACTGACTCACTATCTCTATCAGAGATACTTTACTGTTATTTGTTAGGTTAGCTTGGAGATCTAGTATCTCAAAGAACCTTGTTAACAAAATTGATCAATTTGCAAGTATAGATGGTTGAAAGTCTCTGTTACAGTTACTGTAACACCCTGTCAGATTGTCACTACAGTCACTAAATTGTCACCAACTCACTACCTCTATCATGTGTGGTCATATATGTACATCCTATGTCCTCATATATCCTTATACCACATCCTTGAAAAAACCTTCGATCATAATTTTGAAAATACCTCACATAACAATGAAGATATACTTATCTTAAAGTGGAGAGTTAAAAGTGCCTGAGGATTAATAAATAATAAGTTTAACAGTGAAACTTTGATACAGTGGTATGCATCGTTCGCAATTTCAACTCTTCAATTATCGACGGCCCAGACAATTATAACACGAAGCAACACGCTAAAAGTTAAGAACGATCTTGCTAGCTGAAAGCAGAGACATGTTGCGGATAGCTGCTACTCTGTTCTGCTCACCTTAACCACGTTATTCGCCTATCGGAGTTTCTGTGCAAAACTATGCGAATATTCTCGATCATCCGGCAATCTGACGGAATTCGTACTTCATGCGCGACGCTGAAATATACTCGAATATCAGGATCTAGATAAATAAAATCGGCCATTTTTCCTTCTTTCCTATTTCTGTCTACTGATCTTTCATTCTTCTTTTCATATATTTTCAATTTTGGGTTGTGTTTGTTCGTATGAAAGTTAATTCTGTGTTAAATAACATGTACACTCATTTTTTATTTTAACAAAATATTTATTTAAAAGCAACAAAATTTTGTGATGTAAAGTGTGAAATTTAAAGCTAGTCATTTTAACAAGTTGATGTGCATCAGGCCCTATAATACAAACTGTTAACAAGACTTAATCTTCCAATTTCATTTTTTAATCTATTGTATCATCTCAATATTAAGATCCCTTAAACATCCTCCAAACAAATAATTAATTATGTGAATACTTTCTGTAAATAAGTAATTTAACTTGCAGCATAGAGTGAACATGTTAAGATTATTTTCTTCCGCAAACCAGTGAAAGAAGAATGTAAACCAAATAATGTACAAGCGTCACTAAATTGTCACCAACTCACTACCTCTATCATGTGTGGTCATATATGTACATCCTATGTCCTCATATATCCTTATACCACATCCTTGAAAAAACCTTCGATCATAATTTTGAAAATACCTCACATAACAATGAAGATATACTTATCTTAAAGTGGAGAGTTAAAAGTGCCTGAGGATTAATAAATAATAAGTTTAACAGTGAAACTTTGATACAGTGGTATGCATCGTTCGCAATTTCAACTCTTCAATTATCGACGGCCCAGACAATTATAACACGAAGCAACACGCTAAAAGTTAAGAACGATCTTGCTAGCTGAAAGCAGAGACATGTTGCGGATAGCTGCTACTCTGTTCTGCTCACCTTAACCACGTTATTCGCCTATCGGAGTTTCTGTGCAAAACTATGCGAATATTCTCGATCATCCGGCAATCTGACGGAATTCGTACTTCATGCGCGACGCTGAAATATACTCGAATATCAGGATCTAGATAAATAAAATCGGCCATTTTTCCTTCTTTCCTATTTCTGTCTACTGATCTTTCATTCTTCTTTTCATATATTTTCAATTTTGGGTTGTGTTTGTTCGTATGAAAGTTAATTCTGTGTTAAATAACATGTACACTCATTTTTTATTTTAACAAAATATTTATTTAAAAGCAACAAAATTTTGTGATGTAAAGTGTGAAATTTAAAGCTAGTCATTTTAACAAGTTGATGTGCATCAGGCCCTATAATACAAACTGTTAACAAGACTTAATCTTCCAATTTCATTTTTTAATCTATTGTATCATCTCAATATTAAGATCCCTTAAACATCCTCCAAACAAATAATTAATTATGTGAATACTTTCTGTAAATAAGTAATTTAACTTGCAGCATAGAGTGAACATGTTAAGATTATTTTCTTCCGCAAACCAGTGAAAGAAGAATGTAAACCAAATAATGTACAAGCTACATAATGGGAGTAATTGTTGATATTTGTAAATAATGAGCGAAGAAGGAAATTAGAGATGGTCGATTTCTATGGTATCAAGAGTCGAAAGTTCAGCAACAAGTTCGCGTGGAAAGAACACGTCGGTAACTAAATAGAAACTTTCGCTACATAAATATTGAGTAAGCATACTCTTCACCACCTGGCTTCGACTCTGTATGCTTCTTTATATCCCGAAACTTCCTCCACGTTAGACACGGGTGTTGCATAAAAACGGTAAACTACCTTTATTTAAAGATCGCGGATGTTCGTGGATTAAAATTCTTCCCTGAATTCTTCTCCGTCTAGCTTCTGTTTTAATAGAAAGATGATGTCAAGGAAAATCGATAGTGAAATAGTACCGTCAGATGGAGCATAGAAGTTAAACTTAATTTCTCGTTTTTCGACCTGTCACTTTTATGTAGGTGCGAACTGTCATGATTTAATTTTTAATTAGAATGGAAATTTGAAATTCTAATATGAAATTTTTGAAGATTTTTTTTAATTACTTTTATATTATTCTGTAATACTTTTTGGGTCAAAATTAGTTTACTTTTATAGCATTTTATAATTCTACTGTTTTATTATTTTATTACCTGAGTATTGTATTTGGAAGTTTGCTATTTGATCATTTTACTATTCTACTATTTTGTTTGTTCGTCATTTTTTTATTTTACTATACAACTCAGCTGTTTTTTATTATTTTACTGTTACACTACTTCAATATTTTATTGTATTAATAATCTGCTATTTTAGTGCATAAGTAATCTGCTATTTTACTTCACTATGTCAGTAATTAGCTATTTTACTTCAATATGTCAGTAGTCAGCCATTTTACTTCACAATGTCAGTAGTCAGTCATTTCACAGAACTGCATCAGTAGTCAGCCATTTTACGTCAGTACATATATCAGTAGTCAGTCATTTTACTTCACTATGTCAGTAGTCAGCCATTTTACTTGACAATGTCAGTAGTCAGCCATCTTACTTCACTACATATATCAGTAGTTAGCCATTTTACAACAGTGCATCAGTAGTCAGCCATTTTACTACACAATGTCAGTAGACAGCCATTTTATAGCACTGCATCAGTAGTCAGCTATTTTACTTCACTACACGTATCACTA